GTGGTGCCCCAGCCACCCCCCCCTGCAGCTCCCTCGATGCACCAGGGCAGATAATTCCCGGGGCAGCTCCTCCTTCTGGGGCTGGATCTCCGTCCCGAGGGCGCATCCCCAGCCAGCCACACCAAACGCAGGCATCCACCCGGGCTCTGCATCACCCTCGCCATCTTCCAGGGGACACCCCACCCGTTGGCTCCCACCTTCCCGCTCCCCCAGCACTCACCCCAGGGTGCAGGGGTCCCGGCGGGTGGCGGGGGCAAGGGCCGTGGCCTGGCCTTGGCGGCAGAGGGGACGATACGTGCGGGACCCAGGTACTCCACGTAGGTGCCGGGGAAGTTGCCGCGTTCCTTGGTGCGCTCGTTGAGGCCGTGGAGCCAACCCTGGGGGCTGCGCTCGTCCCCGTCCTTGTAGTCGGGGCTGCTGAGCAGCCCGGCCCTGCTGACCGTCAGCACATCGCCGGGGCACAGCGCCAGGTCCTCCTCCCGCTCCTTCTGGTACTCGTAGAGAGCCCGGTACTGCAGCCCGTCCGAGGAGGCCATGGCCACCGCGCGGGTCACGCTGCCCGAACCCAGACGGGCATCGGGGGCACGGGGGAGGTACGGCCGGGCTGGGGCAATGCGGCAGCAACAGGAGCGCTCCCTTCCCTGCGCACGCGGGAGAAAATTCTCAGTGTTGGCAAATCTTCACTCTGGGGAGCGGCTCCTGACCCCTCCAGCCCCAAAATCACCGTGAAGCCACGGTGGTGAGCAGGGCTCGGCGGGGTGGGCTCAGGCATGGGTAGGGAGCCTTCTCATCGCTGCGGCAAATGGAGGGGAGCAAGCGAGGCTAATTGGGGTGCAGGGCACAAACGTGCCATCCTCTTCTCATCTGCACGGTGCTGGGGACCCGTCTCTGACAGACAGAAAGGCAGCACATCAGTGACCAAACTGCTGTCCCAACCCCACTGCCCCGTCCCGGCCTCCCAACACCGGGGAGAGCCCAGCGGCTCGCTTGGCTCCCGCTCCCCCGGGGAGCTCCC